GGGGGGGGGGGTTGAATTGAATGATCAATTATTAGACCCGGACTCGCCGACACTTGCTTCGCAAGTCAAACTCAAGGTATCCCCTAAAGGGCTACCTTTCGTGACAAATGCCTCTTCCTTGCGACTCTAGTCCCACACGATATGCCTACAGGTTGCGCCGTTGCGGCCGCCTGCGCCCCCCGTACTTCGCCGATGGCGTTCTTCCAGCGGCACCCTCTGGGCTTCCCCAACGGCATCGAGTCGCCACGAGGGATAACCTCTCACGCCACCACCTGGCGCGCTCGTCCGAGCGGGCGGTTCGTCGGAGTTCGTAAGCCCTGCGGCACACCTCCCAAGAAGGTCCAGCTGAAACGTCAAGAGGCACAGCTGTGGAGCAACGCCAGTGTGACTACAGGTTTTTGGACCAGTTGACCTGAATATCCCTGACTGTGCATGTGAATCGATTGAATTCGATTGAATAGGAATGGTGTCTGAAAATCTTCAGACTTCGGGGAATGTGAAGGATCTATAGAGCCGCAGAGCTTGCAGAGCCGCAGAGAGCTGGAAGGCAGATGGTTTCGGCAGCTCGAAGCCGTCTGGTTTCAACTCTTGGTTATATACCATCTTCCGAGCCAGCAAAGGATGTCAAAGGATCTCAGCAGAAGCTAATAAGATGGCGATCCAGATCGGAAATGGCTGGGACTGGGGAATACCATTTACTTCTGCTTGTTTGGGTTTAGGGTTTTAGGCTCTTACCCAGATTCCATTCACCAGTTTTCCCCGCTGCATGGTGAGGCATCTCCCTGAGGCATCTGTTTTCATCGAAAGCCGGCCTCGCACCGGAGCAGAATCCATGCCCCCCTGGCGCGGTTCGCGGGCGCGGGCGGGGAGGTTTCGCGGTTGGTGGGTGATGGAGAGGTCGGTCGGTCGGTCCTTTTTCATTGGCTGGGAGGAGGTGCTGGGACCAATCAAGTTGGGGCAACACTGCTGCTCTGCAACTTCGATACTGCGTGTGTACAGTAAAAAATCATCGGTCAAATCCTCAAATGGCTGTGGGTCAAAGCAAGGATACCTAGGTTGACCGTGGTTGACCTACCTGGGTGGTCAATCTACCTGGTGGACCAGGGCTGCAGGGTTTGACCCATCCCCATTTCAAGATCGTATTGAAAGATTTTTTGTTTCTAATAGCGATGGCCTCCAACCTACTAGCGATGGCCTCCAACCTCAAATCTCTGGCATGGGTCGTTCTTTGAGATGCTCTGTATTCCACCCGTGCTTGCACACGCTGCGCGAGGAGTGTCCAGGGGACTGTGTGACATGAGTGGGAAAGCCAAGAATGACGAGAAGATATGAAGAGACCAAACATCTGCTGAAACAGAGCCCCAAATGCAAAGGTCTGCTTTTCATGGCACTGTGACAGTAGCCCAAATAGTTGGGGCTGCCGATGAGGTGGCGCTTGCCAGGAAATTGGTTTGCCAGAAGTCTAGTTTTGTTTCACTAGAGTGTTAAGAAGTGTGTATTTGTATGTGACATGATTGGATCACACTCCCAAGTCCCCTCCAGTTAGGCGTACACGTCGTTTTTGCACCAAACGCTACTCCAAATGAAATACCACCCTGTTTCAATCATTTAGCAGGTTGGTTTGCATTTATGTATACAGGAGCCAACATATATATACATACCGATGTGTTTGAACATCGGTCATCCGAATGCCTTACAAGGTAGGTGTGCATCCGCGTCGAAAAAAACACGTAAAAGCCGCTGTCTTTCAACCTCGGCGGGCCAAAAACCATAGTGCTTTGATGCTCGTGGTACTGGGAGCCCCAAAAAAGCTTGTAAATACCGATCTGCTTGAACCTCGACAAGCCAAAAACCACGGTAGCTTGCGAGATCGGTTGCATGAGGAGCCAAAAAACACAATATATATATATATACCAATGGTGTTCAACCTTGGCAAACCTAAAAAACACGGTACTCATGAGGTTTTGTTGCTTGAGAAACCCGAAAACAGGCCCAAAAACACAACATGTTGACGTGTTCTCTTGAGGCTCTTGTGTCGCATTTTTCAGTTGGAAAAAAGCAGAAACAAACAACGAAGGCATGTCGAATCCGTCTGCCCAATGCTGACCATTGGCATCTTTGGGCAAACTTCAGAGTGTCCATGCCCAACACTCTGTATCTTTAATCCTAAGACTTGGCGACAATCGCAAAATATCAAGATATACAAACCCATACAAGTCCTATAGCATCCTAGATACTGAAATGAGCCAAGGGAGGTGTCCTTCATCCTGACTTCACCACTTTGTCGTCCAACAACTCCGGGTGTGAAACACCGCGAGGCTTGCACGAGAAGCGCGGCACGAGAAGCGCCTCGTGATTCCCTGGATGCAGGATGCTGTTCCAATCACCGTTCGACAGAATCTGGAAGAGCTCGCTGCCTGAGGAGTGAGCTCAAGGGAAAGCTGATGGAACAGATATGAACAGATGGTGTGAAGCCCAAAAAAACGTCAGCATTTGCCGAGGAGTGTTTCAGATGATCTGATCAGAGTACAGCAGATGTGTTGGGAGTTTGAAACCTTGAACCAGCGACCAGCGACCGAGGTCGCGGGGGTCTGAAGCCGGAAATCGCTCAAGCCGTTGCACTCAAAGAGTTCATCCGTGGCACGAGCGTTCGCAGCGAGGTGTCCGGTCGCAGCGAGCTCCCAAGAGGTGGTTTTAGGACACCACGGGTCAGGTGGTTTCTGGCACCTCTTGTCACCAGGAAACACCTCAGTCATGCCCGACATCCAAGAAGACACATTTCTGTTCCATCTGGTGCAGTTCCAAGTCCTCCAGGGTGTCTCTTGTGAGACATGTGTACCAAAAACCGTCCAAGGTCTCATCCCTGCCCGGGCGCCCAAGGGCTTCCCCCTTCGGCGCCTCGCACCGGCATCGGCACACGGCCGACGTAGCACTGGCGGAGCCCATCGAAGCCTGGGGCGATCGGATCCATGGAGGTTAGTGGTGCCCCTGTCACATCCACAGGCCCTGAATGGGGACTACCTCTCCACCCCCTTCTGACTTGTGGTGGGGGGGTCTTTCTTCCGGGTTCCAGCTGTTCGTCGCGGTGGGATTGTGTGGACACCGGCAATTGTACACCATCACCTCAGGAACTTCTAGTCTAAGGATGCTGCCCGTCATCCACTACAATAAGGAGGTTCGCGAGGGGGGGCGCAAGAGATGTGGGAACCTCATTGTGTTAAGTTGCTTGGGGTTTGCGTTTTTAAATGTAACAAGTGCTTTCGGCATGGGCTGCTATCGCTAGACTCAATGAAGTGTTCGTGGAATCTGGCGGGGAAGTTCAAAACACTTCTTGTAAAATTGTACAGCTTCTCCTGAATATTGGAGCACGCCTCAAGAGTTAAGACTGGCGCCTTCCGAGGAGCCTTCCAAATGAACACAACCTAAGACCTAAGGATCCTATCGCTGGTATATGTTCCTCCAGTCACCACTAGCCGGTCTTAGTCTTTGTCTCTGCCCGCAACCTGTATTAGGTTGATGGTTTGTCTTCAGATCAGGTTTGGCCAACTTTGGCCAAGTTTGGCCAGGTTTGGCCAAGTTCGGCCAAGGTTTGGCCAAGTTTGGCCAGGTTTGGCCAGGTTTGGCCAAGGTTGGCCAAGGTTGGCCAGGCTCGGCCAAGTTTGACAAGGTCTGGCAAAGTTCGGCCGGGTTTGGCCGGGTTTGGCAAAGTTTGGCCAAGTTTGGCCAGGTTTGGCCAAGTTTGGCCAGGCTTAATTTTCGATGTCCAAAAACACTTATTGTTGTTCAATTTGGCCATGAAAAGCACTTCTTTGGCCAAAGAAAAACCTCACAAACACTTGTTTCAATCATGTGTTCGACAAACTTGACCAAACGTGGCCAAACCTGGCCAAACCTGGCCAAACCTGGCCAAACTTGGCCAAAC